TTTTTTATCAGGAATAGTGACCGCGGGCGCCCCGGGGAAGCCGTTTCGGGAGCAGCTCGGCTGCCAGACGGGCTGCGAGACCAGGGGTAGGTGCAGAGCCGTGCCAGGGGGCAGGATGCGAGGTTGGCGGTGCGGGGCCGGGAGGGGCCGAGGAGGATGCTAGAGGCTGCGCCCCGGGAGTGTGAATCCCTGCCGGGTGTGTGTCTGTGAAAGAGGGGAGGAGGGAGGAAATGGGGTGGTGGTGGTTGGGGGGGGGATTATTGGCAATGGGCGGGAGAGAAAAAGGAGACTCCTATTTCCTTTTCTTTCTGCCAGCGCAATCTCGGCTCATTTTCTCTAAGCAATACAAGTTCGCAGACCAGCAACCTAGGCAGCCTTCCTCTCCCGTCATGGACTTGCCAGGTAAAAAAAAAAATGCCATTCCCATGTTCTCTTCCCTAGAGGCTTTTTCCCTTTGCAAAATATCATTTTAAATGATAAACTAGGCATAATAAGATGCGGGATTGAGGGCAGGGGCGGTACAGGTGCCCCAGGGGGCGGTGAGGGAGATCTTTCGCTATCGAGCTCACTCTCCGTGTGTGCTGGTGAGCGCGGAAAACTGAGCAACAACTTGCAGGGGAGAAGCCGGGTGAGGCTTCGCATGCTGCGGGGGGAGCCGRGGGTGCCCGAGCCTCCCGCTGCCTTCCCGAGAATTTTCGGAGACGGAGGAGCGGAGCTCCCCCGGCCAGATGCGCGGAGGAAAGTTGGYGTGAGCGGAGGCAGCCGCAGGCGCGGGCGGGGGACGGCGGGGGGCTCCGCTGCTCCTCGCGGGCCGGAGCTGCGGGAGCCGCTCCGCCGGGGAGCGTTTAGCGGCRCTTTAGCAAACCTTCCTCCGCGGCGCTTTACAGTCCGGGGTACAGGTGGGGAAGCGGGGAGTCCTCCGCGCTCCGGGACCGCGGCGGTGGGGCGCGAGGGGACCACCCGGCGCCCTCCCGGGATCTCCTCGGGGCGACCTGCCGGCCTCGCGCCCCAAGGCACGGCCGCGCTGCGGGGCTCCCCGCCGCCGGGCACGGGCAAAGGAGGCGTCGAGGTGTCTCCTAAATCTGTTGTGCCGGGGCGGGGGAGCGGAGAGGGAGGAGGGAAGTTGGGGGGGTGTAAGGGGCAGAGCCTGCAGCGCGCTGCTTCACCGCTGCCTTTCCCCTCGGCAGGCTGCGCGCCGCCCGCCCTCTGAGGGCGAGGAGGAGGAGGAGGAGGAAGAGCATTCAGGAGGAGGCGGCGGCGGCCGGGGAGGAGGAAGGCGCGGGCGCCGCGGCGCAGAGCGCTGGCCGCGGGGCGCCGCCGCGGGAGCAGGCGCGCAGCCCCCTCCGCGTCCCCGCGCCCGCCCGGGGTAGCCGGGGTAGCTACCGCCCTCGGTGGCGGCGGGGAGCCCGGGCGGCGGCGCCGGGCCGGGCATGGGGCGGCGGCGCCACGCGGCGCCGGCGGAGCCGTCGGGCGGCTGCTGCTGCTGCCTGGCGGCGGCGCTGCCGCTGCTGCTGCTGCTGCTGCCCGCCGGCTGCCCGGTGCGGGCGCAGAACGACACGGAGCCCATCGTGCTGGAGGGCAAGTGCCTCGTGGTGTGCGACTCGAGCCCCTCGGCCGACGGCGCCATCACCTCCTCGCTCGGCATCTCGGTGCGCTCGGGCAGCGCCAAGGTGGCCTTCTCGGCCACGCGCAGCACCAACCACGAGCCCTCCGAGATGAGCAACCGCACCATGACCATCTACTTCGACCAGGTCAGCCGTCTTTGCCTTCACTGACCCCCTACTCGGCCACGGACACCGCGCCGCGGCATCGCGCTCTCTACGTCCGTGTTTTCCTCGCCTGCCTCATTTCTTCCTTTCCCTTCTTTCTGCTTATTTGCTTCCTTGCTTTCTTGCTTGATTCCTTCCCGATRCCCCTTTATTTTTCCTTTCCTCACTTCTTCCTCTCCTTGTTTCCTTAGCGAGTCACCTGTTCTATGATAGTTTGGTAGCTCAACTCCCCAGCAGGAGTTTGGGAAGTTGCTGTAGTTGGCTGCAGGCTTTTTCTGGGATGGCGGCGGGGACACAGGAGGCCAGAGTGGTACAGGGTGCTGCGGGGCGGTGAAGCGCCCCCCCCCCCGCTCCCTTCCCCGTGGGAAATGGGAATATTCATGGCGAGCGAAGAACGGGGATTTACGGCTCAGCAGTCGCTGGAGCTGCCCGCGCCGAGCGCGTTTGGCAGCGTTACAGCAGCTCTCTGGGGAAAGGAGGCGTGAGGACGAAGAGGGTGTTTCCCGTTATCAAACCAGTCTGAGGTGGATTAGGACCGAGTTTGCTCTGCACAGCTCAGCCTGGCCAGAGCCGCGGGCAACCTGAGCCCGCCCTGCCTCGTCGTGTTGCCCCTTCCCTGCCCAGGGCTTCCCCGACGCCTCACCTGCCTCCCCGAGCCCCTGCCCTGCCCTGTTGCCTATATTTGTTATTATTATTATTTGTTTTTATTTAATTTTATTTTTTGTGATGAAAAATACTTCGTTCTACTGCCTCTGAATCCTGGGGAATCCCGCAGAGTAAGCCAAACTCTTTCATCCGTTCATGGGTCAGTCTGCTTGCTCTTGCTCTGCCTGCCTGTCCCCTTCTAATGAGTTTGTACAGTTATTCTTCGTGTACAAGACCCCGTAAAGTCAGATCATAAAGTARGGGAAAACAAACAAACAGAAAGAACGTGTCGCGTATTTTATGTACTTTACCCCACAATGCTCTGTTCTAGGGGGCTTGGAGGCATCCCCCTCCATAACGGATTATTTTTCCTCTTTTCTTGTGAACAGTAGGATTTGGATATTTTAAAGGAAGGRCTCTCGGGGCTTTTTTTCCTTTCTTTTCTTCCCTTTCTTGGAGAGAGGCTTGCCCTGTACTTTCCTTCAGTCAGACGGCCGAAGCAGAGGCTGGAGCGCGGAAAGCCGCGTGGGAAACGGTGCGAGCCGCGCTCCCGGGCGGGAGCGGCGCCGCCGGGGCTCAAGCAGCGCCCGCGCTGGCTGGCGGACCCCGCCGATGTCAGGCGGACCCTCCCCGCGGTGTTTTTCGTTACCTCGCCGTGACTGGGGGCTAAAAGCGCGTTGCCCGTCCCGAGAGCCGGGAGAGGGAACGCGTGGTCGGCGGGTGCGGGATCCGGCTGACGCTTTCGRGCAGCTGTGGCACCGCTGATGGGGGGGTCGGTGCGTGCCCCCACCCCGCTTGCCCAAGAGGTCCCTGTAATTTATGGCCTTTTGAGACTGAGGAAGAGGAGTGGGACCCCGCGGGAGTGCCAGCACAGTCCCTCGCARGGACAGACGGAGCAGCAGGAGGCTCTGGTGCAACGGGTGCTGCGCGTCCGCTCTGGCTTTGTGGAAAGATTTCACAGCCCGGCTTTAGTTGTATATGCCACTGAACTCGTTTTYAGTTGCATATCCTATTAAAGATCTGGTTTCAGCAGTGCAATCTAGAAAACATATATTTGCATCATAAATTGAAGATTTTTTTTATTCCTTTGCCTTTTTTTTTTTTTTTCCCCCCTTTGCTTGCCCCCTCCAGCCCTCCACCTGCCACACTTGCTTCATTGACAGTGGAATACGAACATCTGCACTTCATCCAACAGGGTTGGAGCTCACCCTTGCATAACTAAATCATTTTATGATCTGTGATCTACAGTGCTTTTTAAATGCCTCTCAACTTGACACCATTCCCCTACAGTGCACTTTTAATTGTGCTGCAAATGCTGTCTCAATTGGCCTTATTATCAGTCACAGAGCTCATGTCGGATTTTCACTTGTATAAGGCGGGGTCTGACTTCTCTCTTTTTCTCCTTATTTATTTATTTATTTATTTATTTATTTATTTATTTATTTATTTATTTTTGCTTTTCAGGTATTAGTTAATATTGGCAACCATTTTGATCTTGCTTCCAGTATATTTGTAGCACCAAGAAAAGGGATATATAGTTTCAGTTTCCACGTGGTCAAGGTCTATAACAGACAAACCATCCAGGTGGGTTGCAAGCTAAAGAAAGTGCTTTCTTTCCATTTACATATGGTCATATTTAGATGCTGGGGACATTTACAAACCTGGGAACTGTAGAATGAGGCTGGGGGTTGTTTTAATTCAAGGGGACTTTATTCATGCATTAGTTTCATTCACGCATTTCCTTATTTTAATTAAATTCTGTTTTTAACCTGTGCAAAATCTTTATGAGGTGCACAGGGCAAATAAGTCACTGAGAGCATTGAGAAAACTCAGATTCTCTCTCTTTGCACTTTTTAGGTAAGTTTAATGCAAAACGGCTATCCAGTGATTTCAGCTTTTGCAGGGGATCAGGATGTCACCAGAGAAGCAGCCAGCAACGGGGTCTTGCTCCACATGGAAAGAGAAGACAAAGTGCATCTCAAGCTGGAAAGGGGTAACCTCATGGGAGGGTGGAAATATTCAACCTTTTCTGGCTTCTTAGTCTTTCCACTATAAAAGAAGGCTGGATAGGAGACAAATCCATGAGCTGGAACAAGGATTCAATCGTTAATGACACCCTGAACTTGACAGCATATGACAATATTTCCAGTCGCCCTGTCAGACTGTCACAGTAGAAGAATGATAACCTTCTAAACTCCAACATTTACTTTGACTATTGACAATTCCTTGGGAAACCTGCGCCTCTAATTAGATTTAGACGACAGTGATCTTTAGGAGAAATGAAATTATCGACCTGAGCAATTTGTACCTGTGATTGTAAAGTCAATTTCGGATTTATTGTTGGGATCATTGACTTTCTTCTTTTTATTTTTTCTCTCTCTTTCGTTTTTTCCCTCTTTTCTTTCTCTTCTTGTTGTCCCAATGAGACAAGTAATTCGGACCACACCATCTCTTTATCAAAGGCTCACTCCCGAGCCCGAAGAATGAAGTGTTCAGCCCAATGAGGTGTTCTTTCCATGCTTTCTTTCTTTGTGTTGTATAGCCTTAAAGAAAAAAAGGAAAAAAAAAAGAAAAAAAAAAGAATGGCTTCAGTCTCAGTCCTGTATTTTTCTGGGGGAGGGGGATTATGGACATTACTGTGTCAAGAAGTGCTTTATCCAGTGAAGCAAAATTTGCACGATTGGAACCTTATTTGTTTTGTGTTGTTCGTGTTTTTCATCGCATTTTTCTCCTTTTTTTTTTTTCCTCCAGTTTCTGTTTGTATGTGCTAAAAGTGTAAGCTAGATTGATCAATAAGACAAAACAGAGCACATATATAGCCTGTAGCTCTAAGTAAAGCTAATCAGTGAACAATTCTGTCTGCACTTTCCAGCTGATCTTTATAGACCTATTTAGAGAAAGAGAGAGAAAGAGCGAGAGAGCTACATGATCCTTCAATTACAATCTGGAAATCAGGAAAGGAACTGACATTTCTGAATTGTCCTGACATTTCTAGAAGCAACAGTGGAAGCTGCAATATCTTATCTGACCGTACCCTAAAATATATCCTTTCTTTGCATTGCCAAGTGTATTTTGAGTGCTCTTATCTGATATTTATTTGGTATATTTGTTCACTAATGCTTGAGTACACATTTTGGGAGCACAGAGAGATGGCAGAGCAACTCCTTCTCCTCAAACTGAATTAAAGGAACCTCCACTCAGCCTGTTCACAGCAAGTATCTGAAGAGTTGCTGCTAGTGTCTTGGACAGCACTGGGGAGAGGGGCCTCAGAGAACTGGCAAATGCACCAGAAGTTGCATGGGTGCTCTGTGTGCTCTTCTTAAAATGGACGGCTTCAGCGTTCGGGGGTGGATCCCACGGGAGCACCGGAAGAAAGGAGAAGTTACTGGTCCCAAATCAATAAGAGGTAAAATACCAGGCCAATGTCCAATGCATCGTGTTGCCTCATTCGTGATCAACAGATCTTTTCCCCGATGTATGAAAATTTGTGTAATAGTATGCTGAGGAAATTCTTGCTTGAGATGCAGGAAGGACTTTTATATGATTTGATTTTATTTCATCTTAATTTACTGTATTTAATTTGAAATATCTTATTTTGCTGTTAAGCCCACAAGAGTGGATGTGTATAAGAATTTATTTTTGTCAGATTTATTCCTCTGCCACAAACAAATATAATGCAAAGGTATTTGCAGCAAATGAGTGGTAGCTATGTTGTATTTCAAAATTATGGTGGACATATCATTTTCATTGTAAATTTATCATTAAAGGGACAAAGTCAATTAAAGTCATATATTCTTTAAAAAATCTTATCTGTGTTGCTTATGATACCTCTGATTATTAAACCAATTTGATATTTGATACTTCGGTGCATTTTAACCACTGATGCTGCTTGTTTGCTATTGAGTTTCTTGGTCTGGTTACTGAGCTAGCGAGTTTCAGGTTTTATTTTTTGCTGGGTTGCATTTTCTGGTATTTCCTCATGCACTGGCATGATAATGATTCTCTTTGCAAATCATTACATTATTGCAAATCATATCATTATTGATGATAATGGTTCTCTTTGCAAATTATCACAGGGCTATGTTTAAATTCAGCGAAGAAAACCCAGGTTGTCATTAGTCTTTCTTTCTCTTCAAATAAAAAAAAATGAAAGCAGTTTGCTTTAGTGGAAGATACTTTTTAAATCTGAATTTTTGTGTTTAAAACTTGATCAATCCGATGTCAGTCAAGAAAACAGATGCTGAGTTGGGTTCAGGTTTCTATGGCATTCCCATGGTCCTATTTTAAAGTTCTGCCTATCATAATTACTTCCAATTCTTTCATTGACCTCAGTTCCTCTGGTATGAATAAGACAATGTCTTAGCTCTGTTTCTGTCTTAAGCCAAACAAGGCTAGTGGTCAAAGATTTTCTTTGGACAAGAATTATCCTTGGGGGTTTCTTGTGCCATGGAGGCTGCAGATTCTGAATATCCTACTTCAAGTGCAGTATTTTTGACTGTGCTTGTCTATAAAGCTAAACATGAATTTACAATTACTGTAATTTTCTTCTGAATTGAAAGGCGATCTCTAATCTGCACTGCTGCTGCTCTTCCTCTTCTAGTTTTGTGTCCTCCATGCTAATCCATGGGATGGAACTGTTTACATAGACTCTTGAATTAAATGGAAATTGGGCAGTAAATTCTTACTGCATACCAAGTATTTCCATGGCTGCTTTTTTTTTCTTTTTTTTTTTTTTTTTTTTTTTTTTTTTGTGTGAGGGGAGTAATTCCTGTGGCAATATTTATTCCCCTCTCCTTGTACTTGTTTTTGTATCTCAGTTTGAGAAGGTGAAAATTGTTGGTCATTTAAAAGAGTAGACATTTTGGTATCTATATTTGAGACATGGGGATATCCTACTCTAATATATGTGTCAAAAAGGGTAAATACACATCAGCAGCATCAAAGAATGCAAGCAGAAATTTATAAGGTTCCTTAAAATAGTCTCCCAGGACATAAATAATAGGATTGTCTAACAAGTAATTTATGAAAATAAATCATTTGGATAACGTTCAGATTGGTGTAAATCTTATGTTGAGGGGTGTCATGGGAGTCATTCGGTATAAAACACATATTGCAGTGAAGCAGGACAGTGGTTCAAAAACAACTCTGATTCCTCTGGTAGCAATAAGCCAGTATTCCTACCAACAACTTCCAGAGTTTCTCATAAATTGCTGTGTAGCACCATCATAAAATATCCCTCTGAAAACACTGAATCTTTGACTTTCTGGGACTCGCTGTGAGCCACTTGCCTGAGTGTATCTGGGAGCCACTGTCTCAGTGCTTCTTCAGAGCACATTTTGTATGGCAGAAATCAGGAGCTATATTAGGAGTGATAAATACTTACCATGCACTTTATTGCCTTCCTCTAGGTCTCTGGATTTGATATCTGTAGTTTGAATTTGGTCTTGCAAAGACCTCAGGGCCCTCAACTCCCTTGGAGGCAGCGAGTGTGATGGATGTGCAGGGTTGCTTGTTAACAGGCGGCGTTGTGCAAGCTGCATCTGTCCGTGCTGGGTAGGAGGAGGTGCGCGACAGAGACAGCAAAACCAAGATGTTTAGAAGCTGTGTTGTGTTTGCTGGCTGTGATTTTTTTAGGTCTTAAAGAGAACATTTTGTTCTTATTGAAGGATTTCTATCTCTAACTGATTGTCAAAGTAAATGATGGGCCAACAGGGTTTTGTTTACTGGAGGAATTATTCAGAAATAGCTGAAGGTGGTTTCGTGTTGTTTAACCTTACACTCATTTCTGGAATAGAAAGGATTGCAGGTGAAGTTGTTTAATAATAGCTCTTATAATTATTAGCCTGCCTTAATCCAGGTTCACTTTCCAATGTTAACAAGCTTCCCAAAATCAGTATCAATAATGTACTTCATGATTTTCATGGGTAATGACTTGTCAGTTTCAAGTCTGCTAAACAATTATATGTAACTAAGGTAAAAAAAGCAGTCACATTTTTATTTACTGTTGAAAGCCAGTGACAGTCTGAAGCAATGCACTGTCTCTAGCTTTTGAACCTCACAGTATATTTTGGAAAAAGTGCTCCAGAGCCATGTCTGATGAGATGAGTCACACTCGTTTTTAATCAGAGTGGCAAATGATAATGACTTATCATAAAAATACCTCTTTTCTTAATGGAGCAGATCCTTTTATTTGGCTTATCTTCATCTGTCAGAATGTGCAAGACATAATTTTATGATTACTGATTTCCTGTTAACCAGATTATATTAACTAATTATAAGCTCATGAGAATTAACAGTATCTATCGTGACAGTATTAGGCACACAGTAGATTTACCTTAAAGCTCAGTGATAACAATCAGTGCAGACCCTTAGCTAACATGAAAAACGTTCTCAGTCTAAATATATTTCAATATTAAACTTAACTCTGATAATGTTATGAAAGTCTTGCAAATATCTTGTTATATAATGTTATAAATCCATTTTCAAAACAGCAATTGTCTGGTTTTATACAATGCAATCATATAGCTGTTCTCATATTCGCTTTTATTAGTAAAGTCCAAAGATTAGCAGTTTTATTTTATACTGTGCTTGCCTGGATGTTATCGGTAAAATACACCTCCTGTGCCAGATATACTTAGCATATTGTATTTCTTTTGAGACAAAAGACAAAAATAAGATGGCTAACTTGGATATTTCAAGATCTCTGCAGATCTGTACCACAGATAATGTTAAAAATGCTTTAGCAGGATATTACAAAGTAAACAATTAGTCCTATTATGAATTCCATATTAAAAAAAAATTCTGTATTGACTGAAATCAAGGTGGTATACAGAAATGCTCCAAAACTCAGAAAAGTTGATTTTTGAAAACTTAATGTTACCTTCTGAGATTGTTTACATTGTTATACTGCACAAATACTTTTAGCATGGGAATCTAAAAAAAGAATCTAAATTATTTTGTTAGACTGACCTGATTGTATGGCTCCTATTCAGTGTATTGATATAATGACTCAGCAGAAACATAAGTATCTCATCAATTAGTAATTAATAGTAGCTATATAGCATTCTCATTGAACCTGGCATATTCCAATTAACTGAAACGGCTTTTCTGAAATGCTTTTACCTGTCTGTTCATGCATATATACATATGTGTGCATATATGTATCTTTATGTACATATACATATACATAACAGTATTTTTTTAGCTAGGAATATATAGACAGAGAGACAGCTTTTCCTCATGCAGTTTAGCCTTCTTTTCTCCAAAGCATTTCACACCCAAAAGTACACATGCTGATGGCAAACGACAGCATACATGTAAGTGCTGAGAGCTGCCACATTTTAAGTAATGMTTAGAATAAAGTGAAGCACAATTATTAATTGAAAACTTTCATTGTCTCAAGCTCCGTTATAAGCAACGCATTACTWTAATGGCATCCAAACACCAGACAAGGATCTACCACAGACTGGAGATCGCCTCTCCCTCTTCTCGCCTCAGTCCTGGTTGTGTAAACTGCAGTGCATAT